GGTTGCTACGTTCAGCTATCTTTCGCTCTCTCTCTCTCTCTTTCTCTCTCTTTCTCTCTCTTTCTCTCTCTTTCTCTCTCTTTCTCTCTCTTTCTCTCTCTTTCTCTCTTTCTCTCTTTCTCTCTCTCTCTCTCTCTCTCTCTCTCTCTCTCTCTTATGGAGTAGGAATTGAAGAATTCACTTTGCTGCTGCCTAGAAGCAAACTCACTCGGACACTAGCTCTATAATAACTCTGTATAAGCGCTGTTAACCTCAGATCAGCACTACTGTAACTTTAAGGGCCTCTGCTGTTAGACTCTACTGTTAAATCCTGCTGCTAGACTCTGCTGTTAAACTCTGCTGTTAGACTCAGCTCTTACTTTCTGTTGTTAGATTCTGCTGTTAGACTTTGCTGTTAGCTTTATACTCTTACATTCTGCTGTTAACTTTACATGATCCCTTGATATCATATGAGCAATAAGATGTATATATTTATTATCTGACATATTCCTGACGTATTTCATAATTTCTTTATAGAAAATATCTCTAAGTTTGCAACTATTCTAATCCATCAATCTTTTATAAAAGTATTTTCTGATCATTCCAATCTCCCTTTCCCCCTTATCACATCAGTCTGCTCTAGCATCTGACCCTCGCCAATATGCCTCGCTCTGCAATCAGTGAGTGTATTCTGCAAGTTATTTAAATGAAAATCTGAAATTCTAAACGCCAAATCAAGTTTGACAAGTTAACACCCATGCGAAACGATTTCGGCTTCAGCATGAGACAAAGTCACGGTCATGGGAAACGTAGCATCAGCATCTCCCAGACTGGAGGCTGAAGAAGCTGAGAATGCAAGCATATTTTAGACCAGGTAGTGCTTAGTTCTGCAAGAGAGAGAGACACAGCTTGGCTCGATCTACAAGCAAGTGAGACTCTTGCAGCCAGGCATCACCGACTGCCCAATACTCGTCCATGGCCTGGAAACAGTTGAGCCCACCACTTTCAAATGTTTTTCAATTCCTTCAGTTTTTCTCGTTTAGTAGATTGTTCTGGAGCGGATCTATAGTAAAAACTATATAGTAACAATTTATAGTATTTACCGATATGCATATCGGAAAAATTGAACATTCGATTCATATATTTCAATCCTCAAAATAATCACTTTAGTCTGCTTTGACACGCCCCAAAGGACGAATGATACAATCATCAGTGATGCTATCAACATGGATCTATCCGCAAGACTTTTTAGTATTAAATAACTTTAAAATTGAGCAAGATATAGTCGGATTTTTTCGTCTAGCCACGCCCCCAACAAACGTATAATATAGAGATGTCAGGCCTTCAATGGATATACATACATTTGTCTATATCAAACATATTCTCTAGCGCTAATGTGGCTTAAAATATATATATCATATAAACGAATTTCTCGCCAAAAGGCGTAGTCTATGTATTTGTTATTTTAGTATCTGCTACAATATATTTTTTAACCTATAGCTTGTATTTGCGTCTTGTATCTGTATCTTGTTTTTGAGTCAATTTCAACCTTCGACTCTAGCCAAATATGGTTAATAATGAGATTGGCTCTGACATCCAAAGGTGTTGCCAAACCCCAAGATTTTAATATTTCATAAAAATACATAATGTATGATAATAAT